TAAGGGGTGTTGGTGTGGGTTTCTTCCGGGTACACCGGCGGTTTCCCCCACAGTCCAAAAACATGCGCTATTGGTGAATTGGGTAAGCTAAATTGTCTGTAGTGTAGTGTATGTGTGTATGTCCTGGTCCTCCAGATTGGGGGTTGAGCTAAGGGCTAACAAATACCCACATGAAAGCTAGATGTTGAGAAACACCAATATTGAATGGTGCAGCTAAATATCAATTTCGATATAAATGACCCTGGGAGCAGGTTGCACATTAGAAGTGACACTCGGCGAAGCGCTGCGTAGCACCATGCAGCACCATGCATTTTAGAATTCTAAACATATGTTTCTATCAGGGTAAACACACCGGTGCCGCAAGTCGGCGGCTGTTGGTGACACCCAGCCACGACTCAGGACACTCTTCATATTTCTGCCGCGCCACAGAGCGCCATCTGATTAGTCTCATTTTAAATACCGTGCAAATGTCCACGTCTGGTGTGTGATACTTTCAACTGTCATGTGCGCGCGTGTCATGGCCCTGAGCGGCACATTCGGTGTGTGATACCCTTAAGTATGCTTTTAGACGTCACCATTTATCTATCTTTAGTCAATCAAGCAAAGATGTTTATACTCTGTTGTGAAAAATGGTTCTAAACTGGACCAAATTAGAGTTCTTCAGCTGGTAACACTAGCAGAAAATGTTTTGGTCCTAAATAAAACTCTTTTCATAAAATTTCATGAAAACCATGCTTTGAAAATGCTATATATAACCTCAAAATATTTTTTATATATTTATAAATATAAGTATTTAATATTTGAAATTAAGTTTATATATTGTTTAATACATTATAACTATTTGTCTCTAAAAAGTCTCTCTTCTATTTGTTTGTGAATTTATATGCATAAATCAAAGTAATAATTACAGGAAAAACGGTTGTGTTACTTATCCAGTAAAGAAGAGACATCTTCAACTCAACATAGCAGGTCATACATGCGCTACTACACAGTAAGAAAATGTTATCAGTATGAAACCAACTCACATTTTGAAAGTTAAAACATTTAGACCTTTTTATAAAGCATGAATTCACCTGTTAAGAAAATGTTGACAGTCTGTGCATGGTTGAGCTCCAGAAAACTAGTAATAAGGTGCTTTTTCAGTTACAGATTTTAAAGAGGCGGGAAATAAAGAACCCTAAACCCACATAAAGAACCATTTCAGCATGAAAAGGGTTCTTCAGGACGACACGGTTCTAGAACTACACTCAAAAAAATGACATTTAATATTTGTTCAAATTACTTATTTACAATGAGCTGAAAGAACACAATTGCTGATTTTTTGGGGGCGAACAACTGGATTTTTTTATGTTCAATCTACTTAAATTTGTAAAATCCAATGACTTATTTTAATTATTTTCTGTTGCCCCTACATATGTAAAAATAACCTTTAGATACCATGTTTTTCTAGCTAATGTCATAAGAACTTTAATTTTACTTCATGTACATGACACTTAGGTGGATATAACACTTTAATCTTTAAGCTATTGTTGCATGCATCTTAAAAACACATCCTGTTCACGTCCTGTTCAAATGCTCAAGTCAGTTTTTGTCTCCTTTTTGCTTCCTGTAGTGTTGACTCACCACAAGGAGGTCAAATCTGTGCTGTTGAAGTGGCACAGAAGCCTGGGCTGCAGCTCTTTTTATGACCCACTAAGGAAACATTCACTCTTCTTGTAGAGCTGCAATATTGAGTCACAGTCTGACTTTGGCCCAGGGCGCTGAATGTTTAATGCACTAAACTAAAATGAGTATATGATTTGATTACTGTCTTTATAATAGGCATGTCATAACATGTTGTCTCCAACAATTTTAATAAACACAGCCCTTTCTATAGATACGGTTGCACAAAAGGCCTCTCTGATGATAGATGCGTATACAAAAGTTCTGATTTGTAATTGTTGAGATTAAAAATCACATGAATTGTGTTGGGTGTCTCATACTGATCCATGTAGGACTGAATTTTGAAGAACACATAACGAAACAGATAACAAATAAAGAAATACTAGCTGTTATTGTGAATGTATTGTTGCAACATAGGCTCATTCGGAAAACGTAGCCCTATGTACATTTATGGAGATGAATTATGTAGCCAGAGGTACGTATGGATGCATTTAATTTTTTTAAACGAATGCTACAGGGCAGTATCTTTTTCGTGCTTACCAGCTGACTGCTTACCTCCGTATGGATGGCTTTCTGGCTGATACCAATTTGTCCAGTAAGCTCACCATGTACGTTGGTGGACTTGAGATGCAGAGAGGAGATGACCATGACAACAGGGTTTGAAAGCAGGTTAGACAAATACAGAATAGAAAAATTAAAATAAACAAGTAAATAACAGGGTGAGAATGTGGTAAGACATGATAAAAAGTAGGCGAGGGCTTTCCTTTTTCTAAATTGCTTTTTAAACTTACCGGATAGGTTTAGGGAAGGGGGAGGGTGGGTCAGTCGATCAGTCAGTCATTCAGTCAGTCAAACAGTCGACAGCGACTTCTGGTGGATTTTCGAGGGAGCAGGAGCGAATGGCACTCTTAGGAGAAATTTAAGATCTCACAAAGCGTACACAGCGACCTCTAGTGGATTTGCGAAAACAAAAACTGCAAAAACCGTAGCTACTGGGACGTATTTGCTGGTTTCCAGAAAAGTACAGTTGAAACCAGAAGTTTATATACACTCTAAAAAAAGAAACGTAACCATTTTTTAAAATGTCTGATGGTAAATCATACTAAACCTTTACTATTTTAGGTCCATTAGGATTACCTAAATGATTTAGATTTGCTAAATGCCAGAATAATGAGAAACTTTTTTTTTGAGAATTTTTTATTAATTTCTAGACAGTCGAAACATTTACATACATTTCCTTGTTGTTTTTTTGTTTTGCTTTTAAACGGTATAACTTTGGTCAAATGTTTTGGGTATCCCTCCACAAGCTCCTCACAATAGTTTGAAGGAATTTTGGCCTGTTCCTCCTGGCAGAACTGGTGTAACTGAGTTAGATTTGTTGGCTGTCTTGCTCGCACTAGCTTTTTCAACTCTGCCCACTAATTTTCTATTGAGATCAGGGCTTTGAGATGGCCACTCCAAAACATTCACCTTGTTGTCCTTAAAGCACATTTTAACTAAAGGCACATTTAACTGGATTTTTTGTTGACTCTGGCTTGTTGATTTTCCCATGGTGTCACACAATGAAGGTGTTTAAGGTTTTACTTAAATACTATTCTACAGTTGTGCCCCCAATTAACTTAAATGTTGTCAATTAGCCAATCAGAAACTTCCAAAACCTTGACAACATAATCTTAGCTTTTTCAGAGGCATAATAATTTGATCGTATGTAAACTTGACTTTCAAGAAAAGTTATAACAATTTCTCAAAAAAAAACTCTCTCATTATTCTGCTATTAAAAATAACAGAAACAAATTTAATAATCCTAACTTATCTAAAAGAGAAAAAAAAAGTTTAGTCACATTAACATCTGACTTTTTTTTAAATGGTTATGTGCCTTTTTATACAGTGTATGTAAACTTCTTGTTTCAACTGTATATAGAGGAACATTTTCAGAACGAGCCTGGGTTGTATTTTTAATACCGAAAAAAATTAAAAGCGGAAAAAATCAGAAACGCACAATCCCATACTTAAATTTCTTGGAGAATAAGAATTCACTAGATTCGTTGACTAAAAACAGATAGTATTACAATTTTATTTTCAAAGTTTGTTACAAAAAACCTTAAACATTGAGCAGCAAAATGAAAGGTCATCCCTGCTGATATGAAACAGTCCATTCAAGGTCTAGAAGAGATATAAATAAACACACATGCAACACGCACAAACAAGCAATAGTACTTCATATTTTAGTATAAAAAACAAGAAAGTGACTAGGCCTACATCAAACTGACTCCACACACAGCAAAGCGATGAGACTGCTAAGTTGCTCGTATTCCCACAACAAAAACTGTACCCAGCCTGGTTTATATTTCTGCGTCGAGTGATTGGCGTGACCCACAGTGCATGCCTAGCGTGTAGCTGTGCATTTATACTTCTGTGCGATGTTTGTGTTGCTCTGCAATAACACTCCCGAAACACTAGATGGCAGTAGGTTTATATGTTTCTCTGTGTCGGGTTTCTTCATTGGTGTTTTGTTTTTTCTGAATGCTACCTTAATGAACAAGTGGTTGAACCTAGCCAATTTTGAGGTGGGAACTGGCGGAATTGCAACAACTTTAATCATAAGGTAAACACAAAACAAAACTTTTCATCTAGAGCTACTTCACGGGACTCCACACTTGTACACACTTGGTCCAACGGTTTCACGAGGCTCTCGGCCCCGCCCACACTCGTCAATGCTAGCAAGCTGACAAACCACAGAGTTTGTGCTACGTGTCGCTGTGATGGTTAGTTACATTTTTTGAGAGGTACGAGTCAGTGACGGCCACAAAGAGAGCTATGCGACCACACGAAGGCTGCACCGGAGCATACGCGTGCACTTGACACAGAAGTATAAATCAGCCTTAAGTTATCAGTGAACTGAGGCATGAATTTCTCTTGTACAATGCATCTGAAGTTCTTGTGTGAATGAATGAACCTCCAATTAAAAATATAAATATGGCTGGTTGCTTGGTATTGTCTCATGTGAACTTGATCTTAAGTCCTGGACTGTGAAAATTGAAAAGAACAGAAACCCTTGATACATGTATTCATTACACCTTAATTACAACTATTTCGCTTTTTTGAGGTTTGTGGGTCATCTTTCCTCACAGATTGTGCATGAACACTCAACGGCCTCCTCAAGTCTGTGTGATCCTTCTGGTGCTCCACTGCACTAATCCACTCCAGATGCTCAATGTGAGATAACCAAGAAGACTGCCTTCTCCCGCCAACCACTGAAAACACAATTATTCACATTGGATTTTACCCAAAAAAGAAGTCTGTAGTGTCCCTGCTTTAGCCTACAGTCACCCCGCCCCTCAATCTTTAAATTGCCTGTTTGTTTGTAAGTTCTTAAAGAAGTGGTCTGGTTCCGGGTGAGGCTGTCCAGGTTCCCAGTCTTTGGCTGAGATCGAGGAATTACGGTGAAGCGAGGAATCTCGACTGAGGCTGCTGTCCAAGAGCAGGTCAGGATGAGGTGGCGGAGGCAGCATCCCTGGGTCAAGATCACTGGTAGAGGAGCAGAGGGACTCTGTTTTCCTGGGACGATAATCACGGATGCACTCCTGTCTGGGCAGTGTCCGGCTGGTCTCATGCACCTCAGTGTTGCCATTAGAGGTGCTCCTCCAATCCCAGGTGTTCCCATTGCCTGAAGAAAGACGAACCACTGGATGATGAGGAGCGTGAGCATCCACTGTGACAATGCTGCTACGGTCTTGCTCTGATGGAATTCGGTAGTATGGAGACTCTGAACCAGTGCTAGATGTGGCACATGATGAGGCTGTCTCAGAGGACTTTGGAGTAGTGATGCTACCTGGACCATGTTGCTTAGACATGGCAATGACTTGCATAACCCGTGGCTGGTTGGGCAGTCGTGGAGGTTCTGGAGTTGCAGCTGGTACTGGACCTCCTTTCTCGCTCATGGACAACCATTTAGCCCTTGTGATGGCACTTTTAGGAGACACCGGTGGTGGCCTGGTGGCTTCCTCTGGGATATGAACCAACTGTGGGGCACCGGGCCTCTGAGGCATCATCACCCTGGTTCCTCCTGCTGCCGCCGTTGCTCCCCTGTTGGCTTGCACGGTAGGATATAGAGAGGTTGGCATACCCAGCTCGTCAGATGTTTCCACCTCGACTCCGTCAACTCCCTCTGCAGTTGCTCCTTCTTCCTCTTCCTCGTCCCTGAGGCTGAGACTACGCATCTCTATTGATTTCTGCTTCCATTCGGACACCAGCTGTTTGGAGCGCTGAGTGTCCATCGACACATGGAAAGTCATGTGGCGCTGAGCAGGCTCCTCTATGGCGTTGGTGTTGGCACGGGGCAGTGTGTTGCTGAAGGTCACCATGGTCTCCTTCCCCATTGGGCTGCGAGGTGCAAGCAGTTCCACGTCTGCACTAGCTCTCTTCAGGCTGCCCATCGATGCCTTCTCTCGACGCACCTTGCGGTTCAGGCCAGCAACATGTGGTGGAGCAGTCAGCTCGTCGTTGCTCTCAGATGCATGGGCCTTTTGGTAGACCGAGTCATGGCCTCGCTGTGTCAGCTCTCTGAGAGGATCTTTTTGTGGAGGAGGGGGCTGCTTCAATGGCCTTGGGGAGGCTTCCTCGTTGGATCTAAAGTTCCCCACTGCATACAGTGCCTGGAGTGTGAGAAACAGTTGTAATTTAAAGGTTAATGTAAATCTACTAATGCAGTTTCAATCTCCACATGCTGTATTCTCCGAATTTACACACGTTAGTAGGAGATAAGGTGTGCAGTGTTTTATCTAAAGATTTCAATTTTATTTTATTTATTATTTCGCTGACGTTTTATTCTGGTCCCTTTTGGTCCCTGGTCCAGTTTGGGCCGGATATTGACAAATATTAAATTAAAACTGCTCTGAATTATTTATTCAAACAATACATTTAAAATGCCTGTTTTATTTATGTCAGTCATTATCACATTCATATGTCATATTAATGTGAATGATATCACTCAACAATATCCTAGCTTAAACATATTAAATCAATAACCGATACATGGAAATTCCTACTTACAAATCTTGAATGAACAGCTCATTGTAACTGTTTTTAATAGGCTTCATCACTAAATGCTTTGAATTCTCAAGGTAATTTTTTTGCAAAGTAAGTGACACACTCAAAATTGTCCGTTCTGAACATCTTTCAACAAATATGCATTATGCTAGATGATGAATACAGCACACTAATACCCTAGTAGGGATTCAAGACATTAGTGAGTTGTGTCAGATAAGAGATCAATTAAAGTGCACATACACCAAAACTATGTGAAAACACAGCTTAATCACAGAGTTGATGATGGAATTGTGGTGTTATTTATTAACAACACAGATGTAAGATGGAAAAAATTGATAGATCACCCGAAAACTACAGTTCTGACATCATTTACTCACCCCTGACTTGTTCCAACCAATTCGATTTTTGTTTTGTTTTGTTGAATGCATACTTTGCATATATGTATATTTTGAAGAATATATATTTTGAAGAAGACCTGTAACCATTCATAGTAGGAAAAACAAAAGGTTTCTAACATTCTTTAACATATCTTATTTTGCTTTTGCAAAAAAAAAAACACGAACATGCTTGGAACAAGTCAAGAGTAAGTAATTGATGACAGAAATGCCATTTTCCCCTTCAAGACATGCATCTTTCGCTGTGTGTCTTTAGCAATTATGACAGTAATTTTTATTATTTCCAAAAGTAGGTTTGCACTGGCACAAACTCTAAATAAAACTTGACCATAATCTAAAAAACAAAACATACTTTACTGCTTAAAAAAAAACTTTTTGTTTTTTTTCAACTCTTCCTTTTTAAAATCTAAAAGACAGAAACAATTTCAACCCACTTGACTGGTTATGCAGATTACACAATAAAAGCAAATCAGAGGAAAGAGATGACATGGAGAGAGTGAAAAGAAGCTGTGAAATTGTTCCTGATGAATCCTGGAGGATTTCTCTTCCTCTGATAGAATAGAAATCCCAAATATAGAGCTTGCAGTCGAAAGATTATAAAACAGTGAAAGGAGGAAGATAAATAAGACTTGATATCCTCTCCTACCCCAAAATTTAAGATGCCAAATTCAAAATCTGTTCAGAGAAGCAAACTGCAAAACAATTAAAGACTCACAAGATAAACTGCGATGCCAGCTCCAATCACAAAGCCCACATAGACGTCAATGGGGTGGCTTCGGTACTGGGTGATCTGGGTCAGGCTTGCCAGGGCTGCTGCTATTGCAAATGCAAACACCAGCACAGGCTTCAGCAGCTTGGTGCTGTCCGAGATGGTGGCATTAAAGTACATCTGAGTAGAGAAAACATTATGAGCATCACAAAAACATGACTCAACTGGTGAGTTAAAACAAATACAAGAAAAATTAAATATGAAATAACTATTTAAACATTTAATAGCTAATTGAAATGTTATTGCTTAATGTTTGGTGCTTTTCTCTTCTTGAACACTTTCATCAAGTTTATTCTTTACCATAAGCTTTTAAAACTTCTCATTAGACCTCATCCTTTCTGCCTCATCTCTAATTTTTTGCAATATATTTATTTATATATACGGTTTAAGTCAGAATTATTAGCCTTCCTTTGAATTTTTTTTTTGTATGTTTTTCAAATATTTCCCTAATGATGTTTAACAGAGCACAGAAATTTTCACAGTATGTCTGATAATATTTTTTCTTCTGGAGAAAGTCTTATTTGTATTATTTTGGCTAGAATAAAAGCAGTTTAAATCTTTTGAGAAGCCATTTTAAGGTCAAAATTATTAGCCCCTTTAAGCTATATATTTCTTCGATAGTCTACAGAACAAACCATCATTATACAATAACTTGCCTAATTACCCTAACCTGCTAAGTTAACCTAATTAACTTAGTTAAGCCTTTAATGTCCCTTTTAGCTGTATAGAAGTGTCTATAAAATATCTAGTCAAATATTATTTACTGTTATCATAACAAAGATAAAATAAATCAGTTATTAGAGATGATTTATTAAAACTATTATGTTAAGAAATGTGTTAAAAAATTATCCACTCTGCAAATCTCTCCATACCAAACCTTGATTTTTCCTTCACCAAACTTGACTGATTTCTGAGAGAATCTTGGGTCCATGCAAGTTCCAATATGTCTTCTGCAGTATTTGTGGTGATTGGGATGCAGTTTAACAGCTGATACATTACTAGAAGTCAAGTTATTATTTGCTGCTCTTACAACTGGGATTAACAACAAGACTTTTGTCAGGTAGTGCAGTGAGTTTTATTTTACTTTTCTGTAAATTGTTCTTGTATGACAAAAAAGCACATTTAAATAATTTCACCACTTCATTAAGACTCATTTTTTAACATAATGATAAATAGTAGTCATTCAAAATAATCAAGTACAAAATGAATGCTAGGGAGAATGTAAAAGCTCCTTTGCTAAATGTACTTAAAGCTTTTTGTTTGCTGTTTATGAAAACAAATACAGGAAAAGACACAAAATTCCTTGTCTACTTGAGTCAAATACTTCTGCGTAATTTTTTAAAACAACCAACTTGCAAAGTCTCTCAAGTAGATTATACAGGATAACATTAATTTCCAATTAGAATTAACTCAAATACTCCAAATGTAGTTACAACAGCTTGACTGTCTCTCTTAACTGTCCATGGAGAATAACTTCATTAACAGTTGGAATCCCACACTGAGTTCAACGAGGCATAGCTAACAAAAGGAGACTAATGAGCATCTCAAGCTCTACAGCTGCGAGACACCAAGCTGCCTGTGGCCTAAATACTCAACACACTTGTTAGGAAAACAGCCGAGGTCACTCAGTAGTTGACACAACTCCACTCTGTTGCTGGATGCTTCTAGTAACAGTGCCAGATCAACAAACACACTGACACAGATTTCTAAAATACAGGTATATTTGGCATCAGATTATTGTGAAATCAAAGTAAAGGGAAATGCTTACAGAGATGTAGACGGCTGCGAAGCCAGACAGAGTTGCGTGCTGGGAGGGGAAAGTTTTCCTGATAAAACGCAAACAGAAAGAAAGAGGAAGAAGTGACAGCGACTTTAGTAACAGATCGCATGAATATTCACAGAGCGCAGGCGAGGGTTTTAGCATGTGAGGAAGAAATGTAAATGAGCTTGCAGGAGGAATGCACCATGCTTCAGTGAGCAAAACACAAAGTCATATCTGTTTCATGGCTTTCTTGTTCTGTGTGCCGCCTGACAAGGATTTAGTGACAAATCCATTTGTAATCCTTGTCGGAAAACATGGTAGAAGCGGGGAAAAAATTAAATAAACAAAGATTATCTGGTTTTCATCCTATTAAAGCCCAAAGTGTACTTTGATTTTGTGTATGGTAGTATATGCTCACAGCTGAGCACACAGTCTTCCAAAGTACCTCAAAGTCATTTCAAGGAAAGTCTGTTCATTTTATGGCAATATGTGCAGTGCCTCTAGGCAGCTATTTTAAGCATCTATGACCAAGCAGTATCTATCTGAATTGAGATATTCTGACATCTCTTACTAGCAATTGAAACAAATTTAACTGAACACTCCACTTTTTTGTAAATAGGCTTATTTTACAACTACCCTTCCAGCTGCAACCCTCAACAACACTCTTGCACACACTCACATACACTACAGTCAATATAGCTTATTCAATTCACCTATAGCGCATGTCTTTAGATTGTGTGGGTAACCCAACACAATCTCACGGCAATTCGTAACTTTTTCATTTAGTGGCTAATTCGTACGAATTTGTACGATCTAATTCGTACATTTTAGTACAATTTGCTCATCCCCCAATGACGGTTGGGTTTAGGGGTGGGGATAGGTGCCATGCCTCCTTTTTAAAATCGTACTATTTCTCACGACTGAACACGTACAAATTCGTACGAATTAGCCACTAAACTGCCAAAACGTAAAATACTTACGTTTTCTCATGAGATCAGGCTGGGGTAACCAGACCACCCCAAGGAAACCTACGCAAACATGAACATGTTCACTCAAACTCCACACAGAAATACCAACTGATCCAGCCGGGGCTCGAACCAGCGACCTTCTTGCTGTGAAGCGATTGTGCTACCCACTGTGCCACCGTGTAGCCCACCATATTTCATACATCCCATAAATTTCCATTAACTAAGGTTTTAATTAATTAATAGTTTCTGAAGCATGTGTAATTGTCTGACAACTGTAACCCTTTTAGCTGAAAAACAGGAATAATCTGCAAATTATCAACAACAGAATTCAGTCCAGGGCACTGGAAAAATGTGGAAAATTAAAAAAGCCTTTATTCACATGGCTAAACCTTGAAAAACCTATGCGTTTCGGCAAGGAACTGCCTTCATCAGGGTAACAGGGATAAGGTGCGTCTAGAGTCTCTTTTGAGTACTACGGTCACATAACTCATTTAAATATCCTAATATCCCTCAAATAATATATAATAATAAAAAAAACAGGGTCAACTATCATCATAAATTCAGCATAGATAGAGGGACATGTACATACACAAACATACACTTCCAAAAAAAAAAAAAAAATAGAACTAATAAGCAAATATGTACCGATAAATACGCTTAAACATGGCATGTACATACATATACACACCATTTATTTTGCATTCTGCAAATTATATTTGTCTAACAAAGAAATAGTTGTTTTCACATGATGTCATTGATGACACATGAAATTCAGATGGAGGGCAGGTATTGATTCTTCTACTTAGGAATCACTATCGGAACATTAAAATGTTTCGGTTTTATGTTGTTTAGAATTGTTTACATCGGCCAAAATAAGAAAAGCGGAATAGCTTTTATAGATTTCCAAAAGTTTTTGCTCATAATAAGGGTAAAGTTCAAGAAACTGGATGAAAAACAGAAGAAAAGGTGGCATGTAATAAAATTTTTTTTAATACATCAATGTATACAAGCCTTTTTTTTAACGCGATAATTAGTTTGACAGCACCAATAAATATTATATATTATTATAATATTAGCCTAACATAGCCTAACTGTGTGTAAATATGTTAATGTGTTATATAAAAATCCGATACAAACACCACCACACATACAAAATCCAGGAGAATATAAATAACACACTCGGCCATGTAATTGCTGCAATGAAATTGTTTCATTGTTTGCAATAATCCAAGTCTTTACTAGCGTTTCGGCAGAATAAGTGAAGTTAGCTAATCATGATTCTCCAATCAAAGGATCCCAAGTCACAATATATATATATATATATATATATATATATATATATATATATATATATATATATATATATATATATATATATATATATATATATATATATATATATATATATATATATATATATATATATATATATATATATATATATATATATATATATATATATATATATATATATATATATATATATATATATATATAAATATCCTCATGTTCTTTCTACAACTATCTTTGTCTGGAAGAAACCCCCCTTCTCCCCTTCTTCCACCTTTATCCAGAATGGGCGGCACGGTGGCCCAGTGACTAGCACTGTTGCCTCACAGCAAGAATACCAATGGCGTCGGGTCCTCGCTGGGCCATCTGGTATTTCTGTGCAGAGTTTGCATGTTCTCCCCGTGTCTGCGTGGGTTTCAACCAGGTTCCCCGGTTTCCTCCCACCATCCAAATGTGCTTTATATTATAGATAAATAAGCCTAAATCTTTTTTCTTACTCTCAGGAAGTTCGCCTTGGCCTTAGCAGCGGGGGAGGTTGAGATCGACCTGAGCTCAATCTCCCTTCGCCCTATGAAAGGGGGGAGCCCTGGGCTCGAGGATCCCTTGAGCTCAGGGCTCTCTCCCAGGACAGCATGCCAAACAAGCAATGTATAAATCGTGAGCTAAATGTGAACTTTTGAAACAACCGTAAAGTAAACATCGAGATGCTCAGCAGAGGTGAATGTTTGTTGATGGTAAATTCATCGACAGAACAAAAAAGAAATGCAACGCTTGTGACAAAACTAGACGGTATATACTGTATGTAGCGCATGGATGACAGGCAAATATATGTTAGTTCAGTAGACCTCGAAATTCACTTCTCTTCAAGATATAGGGATCATGCCCAACATATTTAACATAACATAATTATGATTGAAACCATAATATATGGTATAAATTGCAAAAATACAGGCTTTCCTCTGTCTCCCATTCACTTTTTTACTTCCTGCTCTCCATCTGAATTTCGCATTTCATCAGAACCACCTATACAATTACTCTGCTTCTTTGAATTGATTCATAATGATATACTAAATTTATTTACAGTATTTAAAAAGGTACTTTATAAGTAACAGTAATTAAATTACCTAAGTGAAAAGTAACCTCTTACTTCACTCATTCAGTGGATAAGTACTTTAATTACTAGTTACTTTGTAACTAATTGCACCAACACTGTTGTACACATACCCTAATAGACACATAAAAACCAAAGTACACATTGGGCTTGGATATGCAACACTAAGGGAGCAAATAACATGTCTGGATATTATTTATTTGTATGCAATGCTTTATATTTATGCAAATATAATATGCAAATCGGCCTAAACAAGTCAACAAAATAAATGTACCCAGACACATGTGAGAAAGCACAGTGGGGTTTGTGTGTCTTCACCTTGCTGACAGGATGGCATACTGGTCTCGGCCTGAGCAGATGTCCTGGGTTATGTAGGGGTTTTTGTCGCACGCCACGCCTGGTAGTGTGTAGTTGGGTTTGCACACGGTTAGGAAGAATGGAGCATGATATCCGGTGGCCAGCTGGATAACGTCAGTCACCAATGCAGTGGCGCACAACCCAAACACATGAACACCTGCGAGGGGATAAAAAACTGTCAGTGTGGAACCGTGTGAACACAGCCAGACTGAGCCAGGCTTGTTTTTGTTTGTCTGTACGAGTCTTACGCGGCCAACACTCCACCATATGCTTCGTCCAAAATAGAAAAACCAGTAAAAATGTCTGAGGGCTGTTAAGGTAATGAATAATGAATGTCGGAAGAGGTCCCACGTATTAAAAAAAAGAAGTAGAAGAAATCTAGTGGACTAAATTGTATTCTCTACCCTGCTTGGAAAAATACATTAGAAACCAACATAACATTTGTAATTGTTTTAATGGTTATAAATGTTTTAATGGCAACTGCACTGGTCTGATGAGTCTTGTCATTTTTATCTTCTATAGGTGTATAAAACCAACAAATTCTAATGAAAATTGTACCTGAACACACTTGAGGCTATAAAAAATGTACTGATTTTAATAGATAACTAAGGATGATTTGTAATGGGCAAATGGTTTTTGTACTGGAACCCAATAAAATGGTGGTGTCAATATTTTTGGGGTATTAAAAGTTGCTAAATTGTCCTAAATGTTGAATATACTCGATAAATTTATTTTAGATTTTACATTTTACATCTAGAGATCAGAACTGATTCACTGGTTGTATATAAGACAATTAAATTCAGTAAAAAAACAAAACAAAGTCTAGGAAACCTGACATAAAATATTATTGTGAGATAAAAAAATGGAAGTTTTTTTTCCATGTGAAAATACAATTGTAACTTTATATCATTATATAACGACTAATTCATAATAATTTGTCTTTCATGAGTTTAGAGTCAATATGAGTATTTTCTTTTTTCAACATAATGGATTTAATGGATTTAACAAAAGTTACATACATTTATAATGTAAAAAAGATTCATATTTCAAATATATTTCAAGCTTTTGAATTTTCTATTTACTAAAGAATCTTGATGAAAATGTCTTCAAAAAAGATACTAATAAGCAATGTTGGGGGTAATGTATTATAAGTAACGAGAGTTGCATAATAATATTACTTTTCTAAGTAACAAGTAAAGTTACACATTACTTCAAAAAGTTAAGTAAAAATATTTTAGTTACTTTTTCAAAAATGTAACTCGAGTTACTAGATTAGTTAAGATGCTTTTAAAAAATAGTTTGCTGAATCACAATCAATGAGAAAATGAGCTAACCACAGGAATAAACAAAAACCAAGACGGCAGAGCCTTACATCTCTGTGATGGAAGTATTCTCATTATTTTGAACACATGGAAGAAGATGGGAGTCTCAATGGATTGTAATTTTACTTAACTAATAAGACAAAAATAAAAAAGTAAAAAACTTTCAATAATTTGTACGTATGCCATGTATAGCAGCAGGAATTTCTCAGAAGGTAAAATTATTAAAAATGTTTTCATTACTTTTTTTTAAGTTAAATGAAGGTGTAGGTTACACATTGTGCCATTAACTGCAGACCTTCTTTTATTAAAAAAAGAAAAATAGTTCTGAAAGAGATCAAGCCTCAGGCAGGTATGAAAGAGTAACTGAAAAGTAACATAACACATTACTTTCCATAATAAGTAACTAACGCAACTAGTTACTTTTTTGGGGAGTCGATTGATACTTCTGCCCAATCTCAAGAACAGATCTCACAAACCGATTGCAAGTGTATGTTTACAAATTTAATACCTGGCTTATAAATTCACAGCGCTAAAACATGTGAGCAATGTTTCAGTAATTTTTCTTAGCATTTTTTTTCTGTCTGCTTTATATATATTTTTCGTAAAGCTGCGCTTGACCATAACATGTATGCAACATCCCTAATTTTTCTCTTAGGTGAGGCGAGATCTCATACAAAGAGGGAAAATATGCGTATGCATAGGCAAAGTTATATAAAGCTTAAATCAACAAACTTGGTATTGGCTAATCACATTGACGAGGAATCGTACTTATTATCGGCTGCAAAAATCCTGATCGGAACATCCCTAATTTCACAAGTACTTTTGCCCAACATTGCTAACAAGTATATTTAAAAAAACATAATCATTGTATTTCTTTCTTATAAAAAGAGATGACTTCTTATTTAATAACCTTCAAGTGGTTCCAATCCTTTCTTATGTTTTTTTTCAGTACACAAAAGAAGATATTTTGAATAGTAACCAGTAACCACGGACTTCCATAGAAGGAAAAAGAAAAATACTATGAAAGCCAGTGGCTACCGGTCAACAACATTCTTTAAAATACCTTCCTTTGTGTTTAAAAGAAACTTGAATAGCTTTCCAACAATTTAAGTTTGAGTAAATTATGACATTATTTTGACGTTTGAGTAAATTATCCCTTTAACATTTTGCAATTAGCATTTTTAATCACTAAACATTCCTTGTTTTCTTATTAAGCAGAGGTATCACTCAACGCACCTACGAAGCGGACTGTTCTTCGTAGAAAGGAGTTGAAGTTGCAGCCTCCAGCATTTATACTTCCTTCTGAACCAGAGCGAATCTTCAGTTTGGACTGCATGCAGTACATCAAGGCTTCACCCAGCATGATCTAAGCCAAAAAATAAAAAACACACACAGTGACAGAAGAATGAAGCCGCCTGAAGCAACATTACAGAAACGCAATCTGTCAAGTGTTTAATTATGCTTCATTCAAGATGCTAAAAACTCAGTCCTTGACCGTGCAATTCACTGGCCGTGCTGTTGCTGTCCGTATTGCTTCATTGAATCGAGTAACAGGATTTGGTGTAATATTCGCAGTGGCTAGAGTGAGATAAATAGGTTAGGCTGTTTATGAATAGAGTATGAAAACTCACAGACGCTGCGGGGCCAGCGAAGGCCAGGCTGAGCAGCATGAGCAGAGGGATGAGCTCGTCTCCCGTTTCCACATAGGGCATGCTCAGTGTGCGGTCGTGGCACCGGAAACCCACTTTGGCTGGCTGTAACACGTCTGTCAGCTCCAAGAAGTAAAGAGAGATCATGGAGGACGCCACGATTGGCAGCTGAGAGGAAGAGAGGAACAGGAAGAATAGCTGGGTTATGGGAAAGGTGGCACAGGAGAGGATTATGAGCGGGGAAATCAATCAACGTTTGCTGCGTGGATACATTCGTGAATTATTCATGCTAAAAGTACTAGGCACACAGCGGCCCCAAAATATTTCAACACTCAAGCTGAGATTAAAAATGTAGGAATGTGTTGGCTATAAGTAACACTACGTCAAACCAAATTAATTTATTTGGAAAAACAATACATAGAATAAACTGTTTAATAAAACTTTTCTTTTCAAACTAAGGGGTTGTTCAAACAGAATGTGCTTTTCCATTCCAGTGAGCTACTTTTCCATTGTCAATATAAACTAGACAGATGAGTGTGACTGTTCTACACGAGTCTTTTGAAGAACAGCCCACGTGAGCACCATGTTTTTAGATGGCGTGTCAAGTTAAAAGATGTTCAACTCTTATACACAGCGCTACTCATCACTGTCAGTTCCAAAGAAGTGGACCAATCAGAGGAGCTCAGAGTCAGGACAACTGTTACAAGTTCCTTTTTACAGGTGTTCAGTTGCTGTGTGCACATACCCTCGTGCTCTATGATTGCTGTTGCGTTTTTAAAATCAAAGCAGCGTTCAGTGTCAATGAACCTTTATGCTTCACTCTGATATATTGGTTCTACTCTGAAATCTGTAAAGTGCTATAAAAATAATGGGGTCAGACATCAATATTCATAGTAATATGATGAAATCTAATAAATATTTCCACACAATCTTACAACATTTAAAGAGCCCCTATTATGGGTTTTTAAAAATGACCTTCCATGCAGTGTGTAACGCAGCTTTAAGTGAAGTAAAATTTCCAGCTAAGGCTTAAATCTCAAAGTGTGCCATGCCTAAAATGGATTGATCCATCTATAAAAGTCGACCCAGAGTGGTTCAAATGAATTGTCTTGGTAACGAATCTTTAGCCATGTCGACGTGATGTTGATACGGAACCCAAGCCCATTTGTTGCGCGTGAAAACCCAGGAAAATTGAAACCCCTGGCCCCGCCCACAAACACTGTAGAAAGAAAAATAGGAAGACAAACAATGTAACAGATCACGGTTGAATCATGTCGTGAAGTGCTCTGAAGTATAATGGAATGTTAGTGTTATTTTCCCTACCCAAAGATGAGGCTGTGAAGAGTCAGTGGTTGAAGTTTATTTTTCCAAAAATACCTCAGCATTATAGCCCCAGCCTTGTGCTGTGTTCCCATCAATTTTCTGATGAGCGCTTCAGCAATTTACATGGTTACAATGGGTGATTCATCAGCCGTTTGTTAAAGGAAGGATCAGAAAAGACTATTGATGAGACTATGAGAGCTTGACAGGAACTTTACAGTACACAGTTCATGGACCAGTTTCTTTCTCCATTTCACAAGTGTAGGTAAATGCGATTAAACAGGTTGCCTCCTTGTTTTCTCTAGCTTGCAAATGATGTATTTAATTGTGTTTTGTTACTTGTAACCACTTGTACTGTATCTGGTTAACTCTAAAACCACATTTAAAACATGAGGCGTGCTGCTTTGTTTACGGATTTAAATGCGAATGTAAGCTTGCGATCCTCTGCCGTTTGCCGTTGCTATGGCCACCATCAGCTTTTTCTACACACGTGAGATGGTCAGGTTTTACTGGTGCTAAACTGCACTGCTTTAATGCACTTCTACTTTGGGTTCACACATACACTCTGCACTCTGACTTCTTCAACACTGTTGATAAGCCGTGGTGGGCATTTCTCTCTCAATTGCCATAGACTGGGTCATCGGACCAATCATTGCAGATTAGCATCACGCTAAGGATGGGTTTGGAAACAAATGAATAGCTGAACGAATCATATGGGAGTCGTTGGGATAATGGGTAAAAGTAAATGCATATTATTAGACACTGAAAGTGTTTTTTGACCTTGCATGCATATCAGACTATTGTTGGAGGCCTCAAAAGACAAAATATGACTTTTTAATTGCATAATGGGGGTCTTTACTTTTAGCTTGGTTTGGTTAAAATTTGTTAATAATGCACTGAGTAAAATATATATTTAATGACCTACAATCTAGTTTCCACTAGAATAGCTGCCCACTATTTAGCAAAAACAGAAAAAGAGTTGGGGGAAAAAAGCACACCATTTGGAGTTCATTTGGAAGAAGACTGAGACCCCGTTTTCAGAGGGTGGGCACGAGGGTTTGCATATCAAGTTTTGGTGAAGATCAACCTTCATTTATCTTCAGAACACAAATTAAGATATTTTAGAATAATATTTATGATTTGCATGTTATACTACTGGTGGCAGCACATGGCTCAGTAGTTTCCCCCACAGTCCAAAGTCGTATTTACAGTTTTTCTTGGCACACAAAAGTGTTCTTAGAGCTTTCTAATTACAATTGAACCACTTAAGTCACATGGATTGTGTTGACAATGTTTTTTTGGCTCCTTTTCAGGACTTTCAGAAATGCCTTGGGACCTGTCTATCTATGGAGGTTGGGGGAACTCTTGGATTACATCTAAAATATCTGAATTTGTACTGCTAAAATGAATAAAGGTTTCAGGGGATTGGTTCAACATGAGGGTGTGTAATTAATAACAGATTTTTACCTTTTTGCTGTACTAGCCCTTTAATTAAACTAAAAATGTCAAGTGTAAACACATCCTTAACATGCCATAATTGATTTCTAAGAAGGAAAAGCTCAAATTAATATTAATGTAAAAAGAAGGGTATCAATAAGCGCAGAGCTAAATCTGTATTTATACTTGATTTGAAACCTTTCCAGTGGAGTATGGAAGATTGCTCCTGACATGGATTGATAAAAAAGTAACTGTGCCTTTCCTATCTTTTTTCCCTTTTCCCCCTAAATTCTAAGTTTAAAAAATAGTATCAAAATAAACTACTTGATATAGATCCCATATGCAATCTATGCAGGCAGGCTCCTGCTACTCTGCTGCACATGTGCTGGACACGTCCAAAGCTTTACATATACTGGATTAGTATTTTTGAGGCCTTTCTCTGAGGCTTTTAGGATGGAAGTAGAGCCCTCACTATTTCTCGCGTTGTTTGGGGGTGGCTCCAGAGAACGCTTTTCTCAACACAAGACAAATTAAAATGTTAGCCTTTGGATCTCTTCTGGCTAGAAGACTGATATTGTTTAAATGGAAAGACCCTATTCCACTAACACATAATAACTAGATAAGAGAAGTCAAGTCTCATCTGAAGTTGGAGAAAATAAGGCATGCTATCAAAGGGTCTGTTGAGATATTTTATAAGGTCTAGCAACATTTTTTAACTCTTGTGTTGGAAATGGACGCACACAACATGACAAAATGAGAAAAAAGGAACTCGTGTCATTTTTCATGTCATGTTTTCAGCTTTAATTTTTTCTATGGAGATTTGATTATATATTGTTCCTATATCTGGTGTTCTTGGAAAAGGGTGTTTTGTTATTGTTTTTGTATTTGAAAAACAAATAAAAAAAAACCTTGAACAAAAAAATAAACTCCTCAAAAATGTGATTTTTTTGAAATCTCACATCTTTTTAAAGTTTTGAGTTTGATGTAACCATGAGAAACAAAGTCAGAATCGAGAGGCAAAAGCCACAATAAATTAATACTTATTTTTTAATTCTGTGACTGAAACAAGATTTTAGAGAGACATTAGATAACATTAAGGCCTAAAAACAGATGCTAAGGTTGCTTTTCTCTGCTTGACACACATGAGTAACACTGATTTTGCTATATTTTGCAAAACAAGTCAAATATCTACATATTAGCTGTAGTACCAGGACAGTTTGAGTGTCATTGTTTGTCTGGAGCTACATTTTATTCTCACGACTAACAACAAACTCAATATGAATATCTACATATCAAATGACATTAATGTAATTTGAAACTGAATTTTAGTTAATTGGTGGCTAATATTAATTAATTGGTAACATCTCATTCATACACTTTGTATGATCGTTACAACTGGATCTTCATGCTTTAATTTTACAGTTTCATATAAAATCATTAATTCGTAAACAAGAAACATCTGTTAAAAACATAAAAAACTAGATTTGTTTTTTGCAATACCATTTTTCATTAGAAATTAGCATCAATGTTATCTCACCGATAAAAATAAATCATTTTAAAAACAAATAATCTTTATTGAAATACTTTTAAAACCTCTTAACCTCGGTTAAAGCCTGTACTTGACATCACATTCATTTAACGGAAGCACATTTCAGTATTCAGCTTATGACTTACATGTCAAATAAAAGGATGCTGAACATCAGTTCTGTGACAGCTTAACATTTGTAAGTCATTCCATACCATTTATTACAAAGCTAAGATGCACAGCCTCCTAAATATCAACATGTCATTATGCTATAAGTCAAAGTGTCATGTAAATAGCACTCTATATGGACGACTTTCCTTCGGCAGTACTGGGTAATGTGTCTTTGTATTCTTTAGGCAGTTTAAGGGCAGGATGAAAAAGCATTATAGAGACTGTCAAAGCTTTACCACAAAAATCTGAAATACATGAAATCATACCTCCACGAAATAGAAACATGGCAGCAAGGTCATGCTGTCTTTGGGAGGCTTCTTCTTGGGCTTGTCTTTTGGAGACATCATTTTGCTGTTGGGTCGGGTAAAATCTGAAAACAAATACAGTCAAAATAAGATCAAAAGCATGATTATATTAGACACATGTTTAAATATGTGCATACGCATGTGGTTTTATATGCTCTCCAACTTATTTGGCTTAAGCTTAAATGGTTTTTTTGAAAAGAAATGAAATGAGTTTGAATGCCCTTTTACATAATTTATTTTTCTGTTTGAAACTGAACTTTAAACTAAACACATATGAGTGATTCAGCATATTAATTTCATTCATTCATTCATTTTCTTGTCGGCTTAGTCCCTTTATTAATCCGGGGTCGCCACAGCGGATCGAACCGCCAACTTATCCAGCAAGTTTTTACACAGCGGATACCCTTCCAGCCGCAACCCATCTCTGGAAATCATCCACACACTCACTCATACACTATGGACAATTTAGCCTACCCAATTCCCCTGTACCGCATGTCTTTGGACTGTGGGGGAAACCGGAGCACACGGAGGAAACCCACGCAAACGCAGGGAGACCCAGCAACCTTTTTGCTGTGAGGCGACAGCACTACCTACTGCGCCACTGCCTCGCCAGCATATTAATTTAATAATGTTAAAGAGGGTTAATATGTATTAAACAGATTATAAACCTTACCATTTCGTGAGTGAGTGCGTATTCTGTGCTTCTGAATGGCTGTATTAAAATTTCTGTTGTGTTTCTATTGTTGTGTTATTATGGGTTTTTGAAAATTCCCCTCCATGTAGTGTGTAACACAGCTCTAAGTGAAGTGAAGTATCCAGCTAAGGCTTAAATCTGTAAGAGTACAGTGTTTAAAACGGTTGATTCATCTATAAAAGCGTCGACTCATAGTGCTTCAAACGAGTCGGCTTGATACCGAGTCATTAGGTGTTTCGCCATGACGTACGAACGAAACCAAGTTATTCACGTGCACGCGCAAACCCGGGAGATTTGAAACCTAAAGCCCCGCCCTGTGACACAGAAACCCAGACACACACACACACCCACAAACACACACACACACACACACAAACATGCCGGTCAATTGAAGTCACACTGCAGATGGATATTATCGAGATATTATCGGATATTATCTCTACCCAAAGATGAAACCTCAGCATTATAACCAAGCAGTTGGAAACTACTGGAAACTTCTGCAAACTACATGCTACAAAGAATACTTCATCTGTGTTTGTTAAAGAAAGGATCAGTAAAGAGTAACTTACTGATGGACATGGCAGGATGGGTTTCTTCCTCCATTTCTCAAGTGTAAGTACGTGCGATTAAAGTTGCTGCCTTGTTTACTCTAGCTTGCAAATGTATTTAGTTGTGATTTGTTACTTGTAACCGCTACTGTACTGTATCAGGTTAACTGGCTATATTCTCTTATCGCGTGCAAAGTCACGTTAAAAACGCGACGCGTGCTGCTTTGTTTACGGAGCTGCGCGGACCAGGGTAGTGTGTGCGCTGTCGTCCGGAGGTGTGTGTGTGTTTTTGTGTGTGTGTGCGCGCGCAAGGACGAGGGCAATATGTGTGTTTGTGTGTGTGTCTGTGAAAAGAGCAGAGTGAGACAAGCTAGGAGATCTCGACAGTTTTTGGAGTTTTTGCTCAATAAAATAGTTAGTCGTCTGTATTTTCAAGTCCATCGTCTGTATTTACATTGACCCACTGGCAGCTAAAATCCGCGCCTACACAATCGAACGTGTATAAACTGTGATTACTTTTATATTGCTGATTAGCTATAGGGCATTTCACTCTCTGACTGAAGGCAGTCAACCAATCGCAACAGACTGTCATTGGTCCAATCAGCGCAGATTAGCTTCGCGCTAAGGAGGGGTTTGGGAACAAATGAATCACTGGACGATTCATACGGGAATCGCTGGAATAATAAGGTAAAAATAAATGCAGATTATAAGACCATGAAAGTGTTTTTTGAAGCAATTTTTGAAAGTGTTTTTTTGTAGAAGCAATGTAATATTATATATATATATATATATATATATATATATATATATATATATATATATATATATATACATATACATATACACACACACACACACACACACACACACACAAAGTTGAAGTCAGAATTATTGGCCCCCCTTAGATTTTTTTATTTTTTTATATATTTCCCAAATTATGTATAACAGAGCAAGGAAATTTTGACAGTACGTCTGATAATATTTTTTTCTTCTGTAGAAAGTCTTATTTGTTTTATTTCAGCTAGAATAAAAGCAGTTTTTAATCAAAATTACTAGCCCCTTTAAGCTATATATTTTCGATAGTCTGCAGAACAAACAATACAATACATTGTATATACAATATACATACAATATAAATACAATATTTTGCCTAATAACCTTAATCCTACCTGCCTGGTTAACCAATTTAATCAAGTTAAGCCTTTAAATGTCACTTTAAGCTGTTTAGAAGTGTCTTGAAAAAATATATAGTCAACAAATTATTTTGTCATCATGGCAAAGATAAAAAATAAATCAGTTATTAGAAATGAGTTATTAAAATTATTATGTTTAGAAATGTGATAAAAAAAATCTTCTCTCCATTAAACAGAAATCGTGGGGAAAATAAACAGGAGGGCTAATAATTATGACTTCAACTGTACAGGAGTACACTTCAACTGTATATATAGATTTTCAAGCCAATTTGCTACTGGCAGGAATTGAGTTGTGATTTATTTTATTGGCAGCTAAAATGAATTTAAAATCAATCGGAGCTATAGAAATCTATATAAGAAAGTTATTTTCATTAAGCTTTATGTATACTGTGGTCATATTAACATAAGGTATTCAGCTGCTTCATTAAAAAAACAACGAGTAATTGAAAAAGAACAACACTGATTGAACAACACAATCATTTCTCAGATCATTTTAATTTCAGTCTAGTTGATTTCAAAAGTTTAAGTCAAATAGCATTTGTCTGTCACAAAATCATCTGTTCAGGAGATTCATTAAAAGATGTCTGATACATCTAGTAATGAAACTAAGTGATGTCTGAACCATTTAAATTGATAAAAAATAATTTAATTAATTAATATTTTTAAATAGACTCAACTGCATTTTCATTCATTTTTAATAAAAGTGCATGTTATTGTATTTAATAGGGTATGCACATGGACTTTCAATTTTCAGTCAGCCAGCTCCAGCGCTTTTCAGGTAAACTGTCATGGCTTTATAAAATCAGCATGTTTAAGATCTAATTTCTTTAAATATCAGTGATCTTCACTGCCTGACTGAGATACGATATAAAGTGGGTATCAGACCGAATAAGAAGCACTGAATTAAATTTTAATCTTCAGTGACATGTCTTTAAAATATGGAAACTTATTTTACCACAGTATTTTCAATGGAGTTTCTGTGTTCGTCTGCTGCTCCTGACAAGTCTTTCATCTTGTTTTACGCTTGAACAACTAAATGAATGCTGAAGTCTATTTAACCGAATATATTTAATGACATTAAAATATAATATCGATAATGTAAAACGAACCTTATGAAACTAAAAAATAGTCACATTAACCATTTACCGGAAGTTTATTGGTGGTTGAAAAACACTAGCTGTGCATATATCCCACTTTTTTAAAATTTGTTATTTAAAATAAAATGTAATTCTCAGTTAATCCAGAATCATGCAGCTGTAATTTTTTGGGATGTAATATAGCTTTTCAGATGCCAAAACACACAAAATAAATGCATGCTGGATGGAAGAATAATCAAAAATCACATTATGCCTGTAATAAAACCACTCATCACAGGGCTAAAAATAAAAATAGACCTCTGAATTTATCTCTGAAGTGTACTTGCAAAATATCATTTAACTGCTCAAGATCTTGTAATCCAGCTTTAAAAGGGTTCTGAACAGAGCTTTTTGACACATAGCTACAGTGAAACCAGAAATGTTGCGAATAATGGTTTTGGATGACATTACAGCATTGTTGCGGTGTTTGATGAAGTACCCTGCATAGCCAGTCAATAACAAGGCTCAATACTCTGCTGCAGTATCAGATTAAAATCAGTGCTGTGACTATTATTAGCTCTGTAAATGTTCAAGGCACAAAACATTTCATCTTACCATTAATAGATACCTTAAAAAACAATACAGTTTTTTTTAGTTTTTTAGAAAAGAGTTTTCTATTAACAACTATTCACAAATCTGCTTGGGAAAAACCTCTACTCAGCAATAGAGAGAAATCTTAAGCTAAGAGAAAGGGCGGGGTTGACCTTGTTGCTATTGATGATGTCAGCATGATTACTAATTATGCACACAGTGATTGGCTGATAGGAGGTGTCTCTGTATTTATCTAAAAAATGCAATATTATGTTGTAATATTATGCAGGCTAAGTGAAGATTTGCATTTTAAAACATGTGGCTTGAATTGTTTTGACATTAAATGAAAATTTTCAATCATTCAATCTTCGATCTTTCAATAAAGTTTCATTTGTTAATGTTCGTTACTGTATTACAAACACAAACTAGTAATGAACAACACTTGTGCAGCATTTATTAATAACATTTAGTAAATATATCCAAATTCATGCTTGTCAACATCAGTTAATTCCCCATGAGTTAACATGAATTAACAGTGAGTGAACAACTTCCATTAACTAACATGAACAAAGATGAGTAAATATTGTAACTAATGCATTGTTCGTTGTTTGATAATGTTATTAAATGCCTTAACTAAGTGTTATTGAAAATAATTGAGCAAATGTATGTTTTAATTGTTTTAAATAATGTTTAAAGGTATTTAATTATATTTGAGAATTTTTTTTGGGCATTATTGTTAAAGAAATAATTTTTTTTTTAATTTGGGAAAACCTCCACAATTAATGTGATAACTTGTTCAAATCTCATTGTGGTCAAATGTTTTCAAAAATGTTTTCTGATTCAGATTGCAAGCCAACAATGATTTTAGGATAGTTCAACACTATCTCATGCCAATCCGTAACTTTCTGATTTAGTAGTTAATTCGGATAAATTTGTATGATCTCATACATTTTTGTACGATTT